TTCTTTATTCTATTTGTTGTTGGGCAAACGACAGAGACGTATAAAAAATTCCATAGGGCTTATGATCTCATATTTCAATTGGAGTAAGAATTACCTTCGGGCTTTTAAACAGTGTTCAGACATTCTGATTTGGTAGTTCTGAGATGGGCCCTTGAAATGTGAATTTTTAAATCAGGCACTCCAGAAAATATTGATAAGAATAGTCCAGTTTTCTCTTTTGAGGAACAATGTAGTTAGGTCTACTATTTTACTAAACACACGGTTGCTCATTTGCTACATAATGATGTAGAAAAGATCTCTGGTCTACCTGGTCACCAATGCAGATGAAGGCATAGCCAGATGAATCATCTTAAAATGTGAAAATAGAGATAACTGATTGCACTGATATTTTTATGTACATACAAATATAACACATCACTGCCATCATTAAAATTACCCCAGGGAAAAATTTTGTAAAACCTAACTTAACTTGTTCGTATTTTAATAACTTGGCACTTGTGATAGAACTATGTTGCTTAAAATTTACTTCTCAGAAACACTTGCGGTGATCACTAGGGTAGACATGCTTTCTTCCAACATCTATTGTTGCCTTTGTATTTGGTGGATAATCCCACTGATCTCTGAGCTGTTTAGAAATGCAGCACCGAGAATGTAGGACTAGCAGAGCATTTACCAGGTGGTGCAGAAAAAACCCTTATCCCAAACCAGGCCCTTCCTGCCCTGTAAGAGTGAGAGAAGGGATGTTGCTTCTTGGCTTCTGTCTCATGACCTAAAATGTGGTCAAATCAATCTAATTTACACAACTTTGCTACTTTCTGTGGTTTTCAATATCATAATGGCATACCACATAATTGCATAGGAACAATTGCTTAAGAAAATTGTTTTTTTTTTCCTATTTAATAGAACTATACTACCAGAGGTAAAGACATCTGAAAAGCACATGAGATACAGTTGGAGATTTATTAGCTCATGGTTCAAAATGGTGCCACTAGCAGCTCTTTGAACTTAACATTGTTTACTCACCAAGTTCCTCTTGGCATGATTCTTTTCTTGGTTATGCAGAGTCAATTGCTAAGTAGTCAAGAAAAATTGCAAGAGAGACATAGAGTATTTGAGATTTCATGAGTGTTAGAAGAAACATTGTCATTTTTAGCCTCTGGTTTAGGGATGAACTGTTAATTCTCATTCCAAAGAATTCTTGATGAGTCTTAGGTGAATGTTAAGCTTTACTTACCTTACCAGAAGAACTCAAAGACCCAGAAGTAACATCCATTAAAAATTGGTTTTAAAATTATAAACCTTCAAGTTTTTAAAAGTTATATGAAGAAAGACTTTCCTCTACTTTAAATGTTAACAAATCGAAAGAGATAAACAAAAAAACTTATCATATAACAAAATACTTTATAATAGACCTATTGATGGAAAACCTTAATGCAGATTCAATTTGTAGAAATCAACTTTGATTAATTCATAGACTTATAAGTGAATAAATACTTCACCTTAAGTTCTCATTGATTTTCAATTAGCTTTATTTTTTACACTTTGAATATGAAGTGTGGCCTCAAGGTCACTCTCAAAAAGTTAATAATTATATAAATGGGCACTTAAGTGCAACTAAAGAAACAACATATTTTTGAAAACTTTTCAAATCTACTTTTGTTAAGCAAAATTTTTTAAAACATGAAAAATCTCCCCACAAGTTAAGAGTTCTTAAAGTATTATAGGTATTATATACTAGGTTTTCTAGCACCCAGCATGAAAACTTCTGTAATTTATAATAATGGAAAGTGTCCCAAGACTCAAAACCACACAAGAGTCAAGTGACACCATACTGAATGATTATAACAGAAGTTGTAATAAGAAGCAAGGAATGTGTTGGTGTTTACTCCAGCAATATTTCTCTACTTGGGTAATGGTTAACTCCTTTTTGAAGGAAAAAGATCCTTAAGGGTTCTACTGTTGACTTAAATTATTTTTATCATGATGTAACTTAAACAAAACATTAAATAAAAATTGGTATAAGTCCATGTACCTTCAGCTGTTACACAACAATGAAACAAAAATAAGTTTAGGTTGAACAAAACCCATAAAATTAAAAGTAACACCATTTTAATAGGAAAGATGACATTATTTCACTGACATTCAACCTCTGCTTGCAATGTGAATTCAGTACTAGCTGCCATAGTACTGCCATCTCATAACCTTGATTCATATTACCCAATACTTTTTCTCTTTGAACTACAGTGATCCCTTCCCTTAGACAGCTACTTGTAACTTCTATTGGCTTTCACTTAAGGTGAAATCATATTTACTTATTAATTACACTCTTTTAGCTCATTAGCGTGCCACAAATAAGTACTCTAGTACTCATGAGGCTAATGCCATCATAAATTGAAATGCATATATAAGCACTGAAATTTTATGGCAGAATTTGGTCACAACATGGTTAGCTAGTTCATCTAGAATATACTTACCTTTGACTATCACCTAGATCATCACACGCACTTTTACAAGTCTTTACAAAGAATGTGAATATTTCTAAAAATATGATCATGAACCTCCAGATTCTTCTGGTTTGAGAAAATTCTGCCATATACTAAACAAAGGGCTTTATTCCATTTGGGCCTGGAGTCACCAGAAAGCGTTCCTCCTACCCCCTTGGATTCTGGATCTCCTCTCCTCATTCTAAATTAGATAAGTATTATCAAGGTGAGGTTTTCTAACCACTGGGAGTACCTTAGATGATTGTTGGTGATACATCAACAAGAATTTTTAATTTTAATATTTTTACATTTATTTTAATGTGCATTCAGAAAAGGCATAGCTAGTCCAGCAGTCCTGTAATTTCGAAGATGATATTGCTTTTGAGTAAAGCTAGATTTTTAAAAAGTGAATCATTTCATAGTCATTTTAAAGAGAAGTATTAATTAGATAAAAATAGAGATGATACTTGAATGTGGAAAAATCGCGGAGTTGGTAAAAGTAGGAATTTTCTCCTCTAACAAAGTACATGATGATGGAATTCCTTCTCTTCTCTTTGATACTTTGTGATGTGTCATACAATCATACAAATTTGATTGATATTTCCTCCTGCTTCTTACCTCCTAAAACGTCTTTACTTTTACCTAGCTACACATCGTTGTCAGTGAGACTTTGGCCAAAGTGGTTATTGACTGCAAGCAAGTGGGTGAGAAGGCAATTAATGCATCGGCTAATATTACATCAGATGGTGTAGAAGTTCTAGGGAGAATGGTTCGATCAAGAGGACCAAATGGAAACTCTGCATCAGTAAGTGGGTAGACAATTGAGGCTGTGTCATTATTGCAGGGGAAAAAATCCTTTTAAAGTATATTTAGCTATTTTCCAGGAGAAAAGTTTAACAAAGGAGTGAATGGATGGATGGATGGAAGGATGGATGGATAAATAGATAATGTTATCTTTATATGAACTAAGACATGTACATTCAAAGCTCTTGGCAGTATGCTTCTGCTATATTATATGGAGAATGCTCCAGGAATTAGGCTAGTTTATTTTCAACATACATTTGACAATTTCAATAGTACAATATTTATCTCATGGTTTGTAGCATAAATGGTTTTTTTTTAAAGAGAATTAAAACTTTAAATGAACCTCATTTATATCATAAGCAAATACAAATTCATACAAAATTTGTGAATATTATATGCAGGATATTGACATAAGCCTCTAATTTGGGTTAGATTTGGGCATGTTAAAACTAGGTTTTTGCTATCACTAATGTGAAGTTTACCTTTTAATTAGTAATTAAGTAACAAATCGTTCTAAGATAATATTTTTGTATCATACAACATGGAATTTAAATCTGAGAGATTTCCAATTGGCAAAGAAATCACATTCTTTTCACTCATTACCCACAAAAAAGAATAATGTGGGCAAGTTTTTGTTTTAATACCATGTATTCACAGCTAATTAGCAGCATTCTCTAATTTAAGTCATTCTATAATTAGTGAGGCATTTTATTCTTGTAAACAATTCCAAATATTCTAATCTATGTTTCTCTTCTATATTATAGAATAATGAAGATAATTATGAATTAGTATTATTGTCTTCTACTTTCACAGATCTGTAGAATTGGCCAGCTATATAAAACTTTAGAAAGATCTGATAGTTCTATAAGTTTTTTTAAAGTGAAGATCACCTTGTACAAATGAAATGTTGTATTATGTCAAATGAATAAATAAGATTAAAACTTCCCCATGCTTATGGAATGAGGGAGAGGACTCATTTAGACCTTGATGGGTAGATATGTCCTAATTAGTTTAACACCTGGCTTTGAAGTATCTTTAAAAGCTCTTTTGTTTCTACTTTGCTACAGGGAGTTAGCTACGCTCCCAGCAAAAAATCAGATCCCTTAGGCAGGGTTGTTGCAAAGGATAAGAAAATAATAGAAAATGGAAAATAATAGAAATAAAAGGATACACAGAGACGAAGGTATAGGTTTATAGATTTATAAAGATAAAAAGCAAAGCGGGGGTGCTCGGTGGTCCCCACAATATCCCCGTCAATTGTGAGGCCATGAGTGGTTTTTGATGGGTATTTATAGGTACAGAGATCGGTTGCCAGGGGTAACAGATTTACATAATAACAGGTTGTTCGTTTTAGCTTAAAAGTATTTCAAACGGCTTCTATAGATCCCTTAACTAACTCTATCTGTGTGAACAAATGGTTACAAAATCTTTCAAGGACAAACTTCTAAGTTCTAAGGTAAAACTATCGCTTAACAGAAGGGTTAAACAGAGATATAGTGGCTCCATATTTCTTTATCTATTTATTGTGGATTGAGACAGGTAGTCAGGAGTTTAAGCAGGAACTGTCCCTTGGGCTAATTGCTTTTAGCCACAGGTGTCTGTCTCTCTGGCGGACATTCTTTGATTAGCTCATGGAACCCTGTGGTTCCATGTAGACCTTGCTTTGTCCTTCAAAGCAGGTGAGAACCACAGGTTTGAGACTGCAGCATCACTTTGGAAAGCAGCTGCTACTGACCTTTGAGATGCCCTCCTGAGGTGGAGAAGCTTTTGATATGCAAACTAACATGTTCACATATTCTTTCAGGGCAAAGCCCTGCAAAACTCCTGAGATCATTTCTGTCTCTAATATAGTAATATTAATTTATGGAGTGACACTTTTCTCTGGAGAACTATGGATTAAATATTTGGAAAGAGAATATAAAAGCTATGGAAGGCTCTCTTGTTCTAAGTTATGGTAAGAGACTTTTAAGAATATTTACATAATATTTAGGAGTTTCCCGTCTTAATTTGTGCTATTTCATGCTGATTAAGAAAATGTACTGTCTTCTGTTTAATGGAAGATACTCCTATGATAGAAGTCATAAGAATATAGAATTAGCAAACTAAGGATGTCTTGTATGCATAAATGGATATAGAAATGGATGCTTGGATGGATGAATGAATTGACTCATTTAAGAAAGAGAAACAATTCTAGATGTCTGAGATTCTGGGCCCAAATCACTTAGTACTATTATTATTATT